ATGTTCATTTTAATGGGATTTTTATTTGAAACCGTTTTTTGACAACCCGTCGTTCTCGGAGACCTAGAAGCTCACATCGATGGTAATGTTACTTTATCCTGCTTAACCTAACAGCCACTTTTGGCCAGATGCTTGGAAACACAGTACAGGTGTCACAAAGCCCCCCACTGACCAGTAGTATGCGAAAACCCACCAGTAGCGTGTTCTGCTGCCTCCAAAGGGTCAGTTGCATTTTCAAATTATCTCTTTTTATCACCGAAGTTTAGTTTAAGGCAAAAAAGCTGCCTTTGAGGAGAATACGCAGCGTTAGAGGGTCCCATAGTAAAAGATGCTCAACCACTTGAAACAAACAAGTACGATACGGTGTCTTCGGCTACTGCATCACCTCTGCCCGCAAAAAAATGAAAGTAAAATAAAAAAAAGTAGCTCACGCAGTATAATACGGATCCGTCGGCCTTCCATGCAATCGCACTACAAACGTACAAATTTGGAATGTCCAGAAAATTTCCTTCCTCCCAAGCGCCTCGGCGAAACGACCAGGAAAACAGGCGTATCCTTGAATAAAGAGAAAAGATTTGCTAAGTTTTCCTAATCTTAAAGCCAATAGGCAAGCAGTGAAGCAAATTAATCAATACCTATCAAAGCTGCCGAACACTACGTTGTTCCCAGTGACGTCCATCGCTACAGATGAAAACTCCTTCTCGTTCTGAGAACTAAAGTCGAACTGCTGCTGTACGATTCCATTCTCTAAATAAAAAGAAAATTCGGATGGCGAAATTCGTTAAAACTTTCAAAGGGGTGTATGTCAACAGAATCGTGCGGATCCGCGCGGTCGTGGCCGCGACGTCGCAACGGCGGCGGACGAGTTTCTGTGTTGAATTTTTTTATTTTCTTCATTTAGAGGAAATTTGAAAGTACACCGAGCAGGTCCGTCCTTTGGCTCTCCAATCAATGCTCAAATGCGTTTTTTTATTAGTGCGATAATAAACTCCGGAAACAAACTTGTTTACGCCATTTTCTATAGGAGAGCTAGAGCAAATTATTTAGAATTTGATATCGTTGCCCCACATAGATTATTGTGGACTGCAGGAAATCACTGCTCCAACCGTCTAGCTCAAAAATCCCGCTTCCATCGGAAAATTGCCGCGTTGCGAATCCGCGCAGTGGCCGCGCGCGGCGGCGCGACGACCCAACGATTCTGTTGACCGCTCCCTTTCCGAAGATATTCATACCTGTGT